CATGAGAACAATTTTTTGTATTTATTTAAATATGGACTTCCAGGAAATAATTTAATGAATCTATGGAATCTTTTCCAACCAAAAGGGATCCAACTAATCAGGAATGATTGATGCTCCCAAAACATTTTAAAATTTCGATTTCAAGGTTCTTGTATTTTGATATTTTTTTGAAGATTTGTGTTAAAAAATACATTTAAGTTACAATTCCAAATATCAATAAGGAGTTTCTTTGTTTTGTTTCTTGGTCTCTAAAAACAATGATGGGATGTTGGCTTTGATTGTTCTGTCTCTGTTTATTGTGTTCCCAAAAATTATTATTATTATATCATCATCATCATCATCATCATCATCATGAAATTAATTATTATTATTATTTTGATGAATTTTCATAAATAGTTTCATCCCTTGCGATTCTGATGGATTTTATTTTAAATATAAAAGCTAATAATGAATTTGTAAAAAAGTTTTTCTTTAACAATTTTTAAAATTTGTATTACCAAAATTTCTCAGCGGAGATAAGTGACGATGGCCACTTCAATTAAATCATCTGGATGAACTGATTTGAAATCAATTTTAATTCTGTTTTTTAAAGGTCTATCGCCGCCTGATATTTCTTTGTATCATGATGGAACCATCATCACCTCCAAATCACCTCCACCATCATCACCTAAACCATATTTTACAAATATTGACATCACCTCGGTATGCGAAAGTGATTTCCCAGTCGTCTCCTCTCATAAACTTTGTCCTCATCAGAAACTCAAGTTAATTTAGATACAAAGAACTTCATAGTAAATATGATGACAAATATATATATATATATATATATATATAAAAGAGAGAAGAGATAGATAGATAGATAGAGAGATAGATGAGATAGATAGATAGATAAATAGATAGAAGATAGATAGAGAGAATAGAGATAGATAGATAGATAGATAGATGAACAGAGATGATAGAGAATGATAGATAGATGAACAGACTGAGATAGATAGATAGATAGATGAAGATAGATAGATAGATAGATAGATGAATAGACTGAGATAGATAGATAGATAGATAGATGAATAGACTGAGATAGATAGATAGATGATAGATAGATATCTGAATTAGACTGAGATAGATAGATCTGAATAGATGAGAGATAGATAGATGTGAAGATAGAACCGGTTTGAGATAGATAGATCTGAATAGACTTAGATAGATAGATAGATAGATAGATAGATAGATAGATAGATCTGAATAGATTGAGATAGATAGATCTGGATATATAGATAGATAGATAGATGTGAACAAACTGAGATAGATAATATTGATTCCAATCTGTTTAAGAATGACTGCAAAATACTCTCCCTTCCCAATTTATAAGCAGAAGCACACAAATGTATGTTGGAATTTCTTCCTAGCCAAAAAAAATAAGCAGGTTCTCAATTTCATATGACTCAGTCCCGCTCTGTCTTGCCTTGAAGTCAGGATGAAATGTTTGCTTATCTGAACTTGCTCTTGTGTCAGAGGGTGGTGATCTCCCTTCTCTCTCCATATGTGGTCAGCCACGCCTGAGTTTTCTACTTCATCTCACGTTACAGCTTTCAGAGGGAAATTAGCAGGAGATAACTGATAACTGACATCCAACAAAACATGGCACATGGAACTAGAACAGTCTACCCCAGTGAGTCCTGTCATTTATTTCACATTTAACCATGGCCACTCACTCGACAAACACTTTCCCTGCTGCGTTGTTATAATACTGTTGTCTGGCTGTACGGGCCCATGGTGTGAAAAAAAAAAGAAATAAAAAGTGGCCATTTACGGGAAATAAATGACTATCAAAACGCTGACGGTGATCTCACATGTGCATTGCAATTTTGGTTTAGATTGGACAGCCTGCAGCATAGCCTCAGCTAAACAACACTCCCAATATGCAATATAATAAAATGTATATAAAAAAAAATATATCATATTGTAATATAGAATAATAACTGAACTGATGATGTAACAAAGAGGAAAAGATGATTTAGCTATGTGATAAGTACTCATCCCGCAAATTCAGACAGGAGAATCTGCAATGTTATTGGTCCTGACCTGACACCCCAGCTTCAGTCACTTTCCCACTGCTGTAAGGTAGCTTCTCTGTGCCTTTTCTATAAATACTTTCATGGTAATCGTTGTGATGAACTTTCCTCTATTGTAAATATGGGGACTAGTTAGTATTTTCATAGAGACAAAGAGGTATTATGGTGGTTGTAGTAAGAAAGGTACGAATGAATGTGTTGTTTTGGTGTAAGGAATATTGTTTCATATGTTTGGGTCAGTGCTTGTGACTAGCTAAGTTATAGTCAAGACAGAAGAAGACCGTCCTTTCCCCAATCCCCTTTTCGGCCTTGTGCCACATTTCTGTATTGTACAGAATAAATATCACTTTCCTCTATTGATTTTATGAATTTAAGCACAGTACTAGATTGACAACAAGAACTCATTTTACTGTTGAAATGGCTGGAGATAACTGTAAGTTCTAAGCTAACAATTTCTTCTTTCGCACTTGTCGTGCGTGGAACTCTCTTCCAGCTTCTTGCTTCCCAGGCAACTTTAAAATGGTAATCGTTGTGATGAACTTTCCTCTATGGACTTTATGCGTTTAAGCACAGTACTAGATTGGCAACTATATCGCGTCATTTAACTGTTGAAAGGTGCAACTGTAAGTTCTATGTTAACAGTTTCTTCTCTCGCACTTTTCACCTGTAAAACTCTCTCCTGGCTTCTTACTTCCCAGGCAACTTTAATTTTCAAAAATTTCCTTACCTACTGTCTTCTTAATTCTTGTTCTTTTATTGTTCTTGATCCTTAATTATGTTTTCTTTTTCTTATTCTTTTACACTCAGTAACCCCTCGTGTCTTAGTAGCTTTATTGCCTTGCTTGGGTTGAATTGATTAAAAAAAGAAAACTGTTTATGTTCAATCATGATTAATTAAACAGATCAGCAGAGCGATCCATATCAGTGAACAGTCCATTTGGCATGTATACACTAGCTTCAAGAATATAAAAAAAAATGTCCTGTATATAGACTTGTTTGACCTCATCTTAGGTACTTTAAAAAATTAAAATCCAGGGAAGATAATCCTGAGGTTAAGTCTACATTTTACTCATGATCTTAGTGACTGGACAAAAAAAAAGAAAGAAATTCTTGTCTGATTAAGGGGCTTGTCTGAAAACGAAAATTACAAAAATTACAAAAAAAAAAAAAATGATAAATCTGCAGGGAATTCACCTACCGTAGTTTTCTTTTGCATTTGTGCTGAGGTGATGGTGAACGAGATGAAGAGCCTGAATCACGAGAGATACTGAAAAAAAGAAAAGAAAAAAAAAAGAATTCAAGAATTTGACACTAATTGGTTTTCGTGGAACGCAAAACAATCACCACAATCTGAACTGTTGCGAGTCATAACATTTCGACCATTGTGTCCCTCCGGTCTTCTTCAGTAATTTTCTCAGCTTTTTCAGTCCATGCTCAGATTATGCCTCATATTAACAGTTCTTGTAGAAGAATCTGCCGTCACAAATTAAATAAAGCTTTTTCAGTTCATGCTCAGATTATGCCCCATGTTAACAGCTCTTGTAGAAGAATCTGCCGTCACAAATTAAATAAAGCTTTTTCAGTTCATGCTCAGATTATGCCCCATGTTAACAGCTCTTGTAGAAGAATCTTCCCCCACAAATTAAATAAAGGGTTAAGTCCAATATAGGTACCAGTTAAGCTTGAAGGATTCTTGGATCAACAGACTGGAGGTGGAGGCACAAAAGCCATAACCAATGGCAGTTTTATGGAATAAATTTACCCTTCAGTATTTCAAGATATTTTTTTGAAATTTAAGTAAATATGTCTGCCAAAATGAGATGTCAGTGTTATTTTCATTTTTTTTTGCATCATTTTGACGACAATTTATCCATCGCACACTGTATATCTGTCAAAATGAGTAATTTTGATATATGATTTAAATCACACCCTGTATCCATCTCATTTGTTCATATCTCACTCTGTTTATATATGTCTATCATCTTATTCTGTTCAGATCTATCAATATATCTCTGTGCGTCAATATCTCTGCAGACAAAACTATTATGTCTACTACTACTTGTAGGTGTAAACAAGCAGCAAAAACAAACTGAAAATAAGCACATAACCAAAAATTAATGAAATCATTTCATCCAAGGAATTTTGTCAACGTAAGACTTTTGTAATAATATAATATCAGTAGGTGTAAACAACCAAGAAAAAAAACGACGAAAGATGAATCAAAAATTTCTTTTCTCTAAGATATTCAAACAAATTAAGAGAATTCAGTTCCTTCAGGACTTCAAAACCCAAATCTGTTGATATTCAAACCAAGGAAATATCACAAATAATATGGAAATCGTTTTTTTTCCACAGATTTCCTTTCTAAAAAAAAAAAAAAAAAAAAGTTTTCACCTTCATTTCCAGAATTTTTTCAGTACCGGAAAATATCCAGCAGGTGATTTCAAATTCAACATCATCCAATAAAAGGCTCGAGAGCAACTCAAGCTAGAGTCACGGTCAGAACAGAAGTAATGAACATCGTGAGAGTAGTAAGAGATCAAGAATCAAGGTTTCTTTCAGTGCGCCCGCGTCACAACCGAATGTGACACAAAGTCAAGGTTTAAAGTGGGTCTACTGGCAGTTCAGTGGAAAATTTGCCCAGGCCTCCTCGGGGACACCTTAGATGCCAGCTAATGACCCCAGCCCACTCTCGAAGGAGGAATGGATCCCTGGGGTTTTGAGCCAATAATAATTTTCAGTTTACCTGGCAGAACCCAAGAAGTGATCAAGGAAACAGCTAGGAAGAAAGTGATTCCACAAAATGGCAGTTCTTGAGAAAAAGCTGTTTGAGTGTGTGTGTCTGAGATGTCAATGTTACTTTCATTTTTTTTTTTTTGCATCATTTAGACGACAATTTATCCATCGCACGCTCTATGTGAAAATGAGATGTCAGTGTTTCCATTTTTGCATCATTTTGACAACTATCTATCTATCTATCTATCTATCTATCTATCTAAGTCTGTTCATATTTATGATCCATCTATCTCTGTTCATATTTATTTATCTATCTATTAATGAATTTTTTTAATACAACATTTTTATTCCTTCAAACATTATTTTAGTGAATATTTGTGTTTGAAATAGATGTCCCATTTTTAATCATTGTGTGTATGTGTGTGTGTATATATATATATATATATATATATATATATATAAAAAACATTAGGCAGCATATAATTTATATACAAAGAAATAATCATGCATAGAATCAATCAGCAATATTAATGCTATTATTGGCGATATCAAATTGCTAGTAGAATATAATGTATGCATTAAAATACTGTTAATCCATAGAATGATGTGATCCTCATTTATTAAACTGTTGTTGGTTGTTTCCAGTTTATATTTTTTTTTAAATGCAAGTCTTTCGAATAATCCTTTATTCATCCTCAGGCATATTTTTTTCCTTTTAAAATTAAAACTTGGAGACAAAATAATTGTTTATAGATCGAAAGATGTTTTTTTGAGAATGTGCTATAATTGACGGTTGTGTACAATATCAGAATGTGCAAAGACGCAATGCTAAGTTTTTCAAAATTTTAAGTTAGAATTTTTTATTTGAACTTTTCTTGTGATGTGGTAAATCCACGTATTCTATTTTTACAAGTGCTTTCAGTTAATATGTCATGAAGTAAGTATATAGTTCAATTAATATAGTGTTATGTCTTAGTAGTTTTTTTTAGGATTGATTCTATGCATGATTATTTCTTTATATATATATATATATGTGTGTGTGTGTGTGTGTGTATTGCAGACTTTAAAATTAAAAATAGGTCTCTATTTTAAACACAGGTAAGCACTAAAATAATGTTTAAAGTAACAACTACTTCTAAAAATATCTATCTCAGTCTGTCAGCTCAATACCATCTTTCTGTCTCAATCTGGTTGTATCCATCAATCTACCCATCCTGGGTATGACGATAAACTACGCCCAACAGCAAGGCCTCTGATCAGAAGGCTTTGAAAAGCGTGGAATCTCTTCTTAATTGCTGGTGTTTCCAGGTCCATCCTGACCTGGGGTGCTCACACCTGTTAGGGTCCCAGCTATGGGCAAATAGTTAATGCCAAAACTGAGTTAAAAAGCATTATAAAAATATAAAAATAGTTTTTAACACAAGAAATACTTTGTAAAAAATTATTACCAGAAATGAATTTTTGAAGAAAAAAAATATTGCCAGCAATACGTTTTCGAAAAAATAATATTACCAGCTGTACATTTTTGAGGTAAAAAAATATCAACAGAAATAGATTTGATAAAACAAAAATATTACCAGAAAAAAAAAGTTGTCGGCATTAAATGACCCATTGAGGTTGATATGCCATAAAACAAACCAAACTGTCAATCTACCTGTCTATCTCAGTCTACTCATATCTATCAACCTATCACAGTCTGTTCAAATCTATCTAAGTCTGTTCATATTTATCTATCTATCTCTATTCATATTTATTTATTTATCTCTCTCTATTCATATTTATTTATCTATATCTGTTCATATTTATTTATCAATCTACCTCTGTTCATATCTATCTATCTATATCTGTTCATATTTATTTATCAATCTACCTCTTCATATCTATCTATCTATATCTGTTCATATTTATTTATCAATCTACCTCTTCATATCTATCTATCTATATCTGTTCATATTTATTTATCAATCTACCTCTGTTCATATCTATCTATCTATCTCTGTTCATATTTATTTATCAATCTACCTCTGTTCATATTTATTTATTAATCTACCTCTGTTCATATCTATCTATCTACATCTGTTCATATTTATTTATCAATCTACCTCTGTTCATATCTATCGATCTATCTATATCTGTTCATATCTATCTATCTACCTATCTATCTCTGTTCATATCTATCTATCTACCTATCTCTGTTCATATCTATCTATCTATCTATCTATCTCTGTTCATATCTATCTATCTATCTATCTCTGTTCATATCTATCTATCTATCTATCTCTGTTCATATCTATCTATCTATCTATCTACCTGTCTATCTCTGTTCATATCTATCTCTATTCATATCTATCTATCTCAGTCTGTTCATATTTATCTATCTCAGTCTGCTCATATCAATCTATCTCAGTTTAGACATTTCTGAATGTGATGGATGCATATAAAATTCTCAACATTAATTGTTTTAAGTTAATATTTTAATATTAATGTCAATTGCTATCTTTTGTCATTAATCTTAATCCCTGTTCATTTCTTTTTCTTTATCCTTAATAACGTTTTCCTTATATTATTCTCCACATATTCTTTCACACTCAGTAACCACTTGCATCTTAGTAGCTTTATGGCCTTGCTTCAGATGAAATGATTAAAAAAAAATTCAATCTAAAAGTTAATGTTATTCATTTTTTAATCTTTTATTTCATTCTTTTATTCTGTTTTAATTTCTGTTTTTTTTTTTTTCTGAAATCCCTGAAAACTGACAGATGGCCGTTCAGTCATGCTAGAAGAGGCGTGTGGTTACAGGCTAGCCAACAAGTATAGCCTGTTGTACTTCAGCAAACTGGTAAGAGAAGATCAATATTTTTCCAAAAACTGAAGTGGCCATTTACGCAAGGACTTGTCAAAGTTCAGATGGTGTTTTCTCTCACACATCCGACAGAACATGCTTGGCCCGTGTCCTCTTCCGCCTTTTCTATCCCCAGCTGAAATGTGGCACCCTGAAGAAATTGAATCTGAAGTGCTCACCATTGTCTACAACCAGACAATGGCGAATAACACTTGCACCTTGAAGAACAGGAAGTCTTAGAACCATCTGCGAGCAAGCTTTGGAGTGTTTAGCGTCAATGGGATTCTATCTTAATGTAACCCTTATTCTTCTATGTGTCACATCCCTTCAAAACGTTAACAATCATGGATCTCCACAACTTCCCATCCTTATTTAACTCTTAAAGCAGTCTATTATAGTTTAATTAAAGCAAGCGAAATAGTTTGATTCGACTCCTCATTTCACAGAGTTATAGCTTATTTTTCTATGTCATGTCCCTTCAAATGTGGGCAATCTCTGCTCTCCCCAACTTCCCATTCTTTAAAGCTCTTAAAGCAACCCATTACCATTCACCCATGCTATTTATCAAGAGATTCTTGATAAAATCCAAAGAAGAATCAGCAATATTATTGGTCCTGATCTGGTAGCTCAGCTTCAGTCACTTTCCCACCACCATAAAGTTGCCTCTCTGTAACTTTTCTATAAATACTTTCATGGTAATTTTGGGATGAGCTCTTCACTACGGTGTGTGTGTGTGTGTGTGTGTGGGGGGTTATTACTAATCTGATTTTTGTTTTAGTTTCTTGTAAATAGCTTTTTGTATGCATATTGTAAATACTCATTGGGGTTTGTTTTTTTTAGAATTGTTGTTTTTTATTCCCCCCCCCCCACAGACAATGAATTGTAAATATGGGGACTAGTTAGTATTTTCATAGAGACAAAGAGGTATTATGGTGGTTGTAGTAAGAAAGGTACGTATGAATGTGTTGTTTTGGTGTAAGGAATATTGTTTCGTACGATTGGGTCAGTGTTTTTGGCTAGCTAAGTTATAGTTAAGACAGAAGATGACCGTCCTTTCCCCAATCCCCTTTTTTCGGCCTTGTGCCACATTTCTGTATTAAACAGAATAAATATCGCTCTTCACTATGGTACCCTAAACTTTCTGAATTTAATTTTGCAGTTTTGTTGCTTTATTCCCTCCCCCAGAAACCATGGGTAAATATGGGGACCAGACCGGACTTTTTAGAGACCTTGGATTACGGTGAATCTAAGAAAGGTAAGTAAAATTGTAATTTTCCATAGGAAAAAATTTGCCTAGCTAAGTTTAATGTTAAGACATCAAAAATACCACATGATCCCCTATGCCACACATATCATTGTACAAATAAATATCACCCTTAACTATGGTGCATAGATTCTTTGAATTTGGCAGTACCAGAGAGGTCTCATCAATTCAAAAGTGATTTGAATAGATGCAACCATAAGTTCTATGTTGTCGGTTTCTTTTCTTGCACTTCTCCTTACCTATGGGACGATATGTCTTCCGATTCCATGCTTTAATATAAAAAATTAATAAATAAAATTCAAATGCAGGGTCAATATTATGTCTTGTAGTCCTGATTTTTCTAGTGGTTTACCTAGTTCCCTTTATGACAGTATTTCATTTTCTTGATGTTATGAAATGATTAATAAAGAAATTTCAATTTCGAACGTTGCATTTCGGATATTCAAAAAAAAGTATTAACCCTGGAAAAATTTTGTTAAAAACAGATAAAAAGTTCTGAACAGTTACGTAATTCTTCCTTGTTCTTCTTAAGACGTTGAGCATTTCAGTCCCCACAGTTTGCTGTTTACAAAAGCTGAATTTTGTCTTTATTGTTCACGTCTTTTAAACCCTTTTCAGCCATCCACACATGAAAGCTCCTTATACGTATGTTAAACTTTCCTCCACTATGCAAACTTTTTTACCCTTCACACAAACATAAATGTTCTTGTCTTATTCACCTCAAGAAAGTACATTTGTTACTTTTGATGTCAAAAATATATATATATATTTTTATTTATATTTATATATATATATTCGTTCTTGCTTTTTTTTCCATGTTCTTCAGTTTGGGCCTTCTTAAGAACCACATTTCAGTTATAGTAGTTATGTTGGATCTAAAAGCAAAGGAATAAAAGTCTTGTATTCCCAAAGAATTTAACAGAAGGATAACTGAGAATAGAATGCTCATTAGTAAGGAACGAAGAATTTTGCCAGAAAAATTCAAGCAAAATGTCTTTATTTCTCAATTTCTTTTCTCTTTCCTCATCAACATTCTCTATATTGCTCAAGCCAAATATATATTCATCAAGTATCCTAAGTGTTTTGGTAAACTTGAAATTTTCTACATCAAATGACCATCCTAGTGGGAGCATTTATTTTTGCCTAAAATCATCTCTTTTTTTTATTCTTCTTGATCTAGGTTAAATTATTAAATACACTGTTTGGACATTAAAATAGAAAAATTTTCAGATCTTATTCACCTAACAGATTTTCTTTTCTCATTGCCCATATATGGAACTATATTTTAATATGTTTTTCTTCCACGAAAAATCTTATCCTTCAAATATTTAAATCCATCGCCATATAGAGAATAAGTAGACAGAACTTTTTGTTTAAATTCCTTTATTCTAAACCTTTCTTATTGCAATAGCGGCATTATACTGTCAAATGAAAAACATACACACAATCTCATATATATATATATATATATATATATATATATATATATATAGGACCTCCTAAAATTGTCAAACTGGCCTTATTCAAATTGTTGATGACGTTAGGAAGTTCTAGCTCTTTTCCTTATTTTAATTATAAATCTGTTTTTTTGTTTCCATTTTTTAAAACTTCCTTATTGGGCTCTCTGGTATTGAACAAACAAATGCACCTGTAGAACCAGCATCTGCAATATTTATTTACCAAAGCCACCCTAGTAGGAGATCATCCACAAAGCAGGTTTAGGTGGCCGTTCTATGATGATATGGGCTCATATTGGGACAGCAGATCATTATTCAAATATCGGGTTGTTAAATATAACACGACAACTGAATGTCTATTATGTTTGGGTTCCATGATGCCATTCAAAAGGTCGAATTATAGTTGCTTTAGTTTCAGGAGAAAAAAAAGACACGTTCTACTCGGACACATTTGGAGAATTTTTTTCAACTGTTCCTTGCAGGATGTTTTTCAGCTCACTCATAAACCATCTTCAGTCTAGGTTTAACATACAGAGTGTTTCATTTCATAAGTTCTAAAATAAATCTGTAACCCTACAAATTGAATAAAATCGACAATCGAAAAATGATTCTTTTCTTATAGGATACAGGTTCGATTCAAAAAAAGGACGCATATTAGCCTGACAATTTCTCGGACATTTCTGTCGGTAAATGTTTTTTTAATACTGTTTATTATAAACAGAGCACTTAAATATTTGTATCTATAAAAAAATGTATAAGTTAAAAATATCCAAAAATAATTCCGGACTTTTGTCCATTTCATAATATTTTCTTTTATATTTAAGGAAAATTTCGATGTTTTAAAATTTTACTTATTTCGTAAAGACTTTTTTATATTATCACTTGCCTTGATAAAGTCCACATTTTTGTCATCTGAAATATTATCAATTGTTAAATTTCTATCTTTTGATTGTTTTTTTACATATATATATAATACTGGGATTCCCAAGAACAGCCATTCCGTTTAGTTACAATTAATAGTTTTGATCAACAATTAAATATTTTAATTTTTTCCCCTCTGAAAATTTTCTGAGTCAAAATTTCAAATAATTATAAGAAATTTTTTATGGTATTTAATAAAAATAGTCATAAATTTTACCCACGTTTCTGGTGCCTGTACATTAATTTACAATGTTATTAGCCTAAAAAAATCGATAATTTAAAAAAACAAATCGATAAGGCCTAACGATCTGAAAAAAAAATAAATTCATATTTTTTTGTATCAATTTCATTTAAACTCGTTATTTAGGTTCTCTTAAAACTTCGGGCTCAATTTTATTCCTACGCCCCGGGTTTAGCGAAAAAAGCGAAAAACGTTCTTCTTTTTCAAACACACCCTTTTTCTAAAAACTTCCTCAATTTTCTCTAACTTGTTTTCAAACATCCCTCAATTGTCTCCTAAAATTTTGTTTTTAATAGTCATTTAATTTAACGATTTCCACCCATAATTTGAAAAAACCTGATAAATTGGAAAATGATTAATTTTTCTGGTTTCTTAATAAATTTTCGTTAACCATGGAATATTAGTTTTTGAGACTTAACAATTACATTATATAAATTTATATCTATATTTACATCCCTGGTAGCAAAGAATGGTTTGAATTTCAAAAACATTGGAAAAATAATTGTGGGTCTGGAATTCTTCTCCCTCTGGACCTTCAATGGTCTGTTTTAACCCTTCATATTCTCATTAACTTCGATTGAATAAATGCAGACTGCTTCTGTTATATCAGTAAACCATTAATTCAAAATGATTTTTAATTAAAGTAGGAAAGAATTGAAGAAGATAGACTCTGTTACATCTAAACAT